GGCCTGGCCGGTGGCCTGCAGGGTGCCGGGACCCTCCAGTGCCCGGTGGAACCGGGGGCTGTATGCTGGTGGCTGAAGGTAGGTCTCCTGGCTGGAGGAGAGAGGGGTGAGCTGGGCTTTCAGGGCGGTGACGGAGGCAGGGACGACGGGGTCGTCGTTCTCCTCGTCCGACTGCCTGAACTCGGGGTACATGTCTGTCTCCTCCACGAAGGGGAAGCCCTCGATCCGCCGCGTCTTCAGGGAGGGCTCCATCTCCGCCGGGTCCATGACAAAGCGGCCGTCCGGCCCGCGGCTGATGAGCTCAATGGGGGTGGTGGCCTCAGCTTCGGCCTCCGCCTTGGATACGCTGTACTTCTTGCTGCTGATGGCTCGCTTGGTCTTCTTGTAAAGGGAGAGTTCCTTCTCCTTGGTGGGGCTCAGCATCCGCTTGGCCTGCGGGCCCTGGTCATCAGAGGACTCTGAGGGGGGACGGAGCGTGCGGATGCTCTCGGGACTCACCTTGCCGGAAGACAACCTGGACCACAGGGGAGAAAAACCAAGAGAGGGGACGGTCACCCGGATGGGAAAGAAGGTCTTTTTGCCCAGAAGAACCGCCAGCTGGATCCGGCAAACAAAACGCTACCAGCTCTCAAAAGAGGAACTGCTGGGAGAAATTTGTGGGGGCTAACAACGATGGCAGAGTCTTGCCCGGCCACGGCACAAGCCAGAGGACCACCAGCAGCGCACATCATCCCAGCTCCTCCGGAGCATACCTCAGCACTCTCGACACGCTCCCCGCGGCAGGCAGCTGCCAACCCCTTGCAGCAAACTCTTCCAACACCTCGCAACAAGCTCTGCAGGCCCAGCAGAACAAAAGACAGATCCAAAGCTCAATTCCAACTCCTTCAAAGGTTTCCTATGTTCACCTGAGCTACCCATGCCCAGGAAAGCCCCCGAGATGAGGGACGTCAGGCAAACGTCCCCTCCCTCAGAACTCAACATCTCACTTGGAGATGCTGACGGATCACTTCAGACCAACTTTTTCCCCCATTCTCAACACTCAAACTTAAGGCTGAGAGCCTCAAAAGGTGGAAAGCATCAGGGTAGTTCACTCATCCCTATCCAGAAAGCCTTGGACAAACAGCATTGAAAGGCAAAAGGTTGCAGATCCAAGAGACAGCACAGGCGCGGTTATTTCAGTGCAGGGAACGAACCGAAAATAAGCAAGATCCACCAGCACCACGACATTTTGCAATGGTCCAGGAGCCAAAGCATGAGGCGTCCACATCTCAGACGCTCGCGTTCACATCAGGAAGATGCTCCCACTGCTAATCAGCAGCTATACATGCTTTTGATAGGCTCTGCAAGGAGCTGTGGCTACTGCAGCACCATGATCCACCACCTTTGGGCACATGTGGAAAGAGGCTTCAGTGAGGCACTCTTCATGGGGAAAAGATACAGGTGTAAGGTACTCTGAATTTCCCAAGAGAAACGAGAGCCAACAGAGAATGACTCAAAAACTACATCAAGCTTGCGTGAAGAACTCCACACACAGCAGGCTAGCCCTTCTCCTAAGAAGCCCCTTCAAGCTGGATGTGTAATCGAGTTCCACCTGTCAACTCCAGCTTTGGCCAATGTCCACAGATCCAACGGGGTCATCTCTTCGCTTAAAGTTTGCTGCATTTGTGCCTGCTGCTTTCTGCTCCAAAGCCCGTTTGTCTCTTGTGAACTGTTGTGTTCCCACAAGTTCAAGGAACACCCAAAACAACTCGTCAGAAGCAACGAAACAAGGTCAGACATTTCCATTTGAGCTTTGCAACAACTGTAGAAAGGAGGTACCTTGAAGACCCCCAGTCTGATGCTGCATCTAAGACAGATACTTACGGGGACTCCAAACTCTTCCTGCAGTGGGTTATCGAGAGAGGAGGGTCTGCAAGAGAATAAAAAGGGGAAAGAAGAGAGAACGCTAAGGAGGCGCAACACAACAGAGACAAGACAAACTCAACATCAAGACAACAAAAGACACTCAACAAGAGGCCAAGGTTTCATTGTTCCAGTGCTTTAATGGTTGCTGACAACAAACAGTTCCCGTCACAGGGTCCTGCCCGTCCTGCCACCGCAGTCTCGCAGGCTGGAGGAGAAGGAGCTGATCCCCCTACTCCCTCCAGCTCCCCAGCCGCCCTTGTCCCTAACGGGCCGCTCCTGCATGGCGCCTGCAGTCGCAGCTTTTGGGAAGCAAAGCGGCAGGATCTCCTTTTGCGGGGGTCTTCTCTAGCCTAGTGCAGCCGCCGGGCACTGCCCGCTCCAGGTTGGGCAAAGCTGGGCGGGAAGCAGCTGGAGAGCCCAGCTCCAGGGGGACCTCAAGGAGGTGAGTGGTCCCCCCCCATCTCTGGCCCAGAGGACACCCCAGCCCTAAACCCCCAGCTCTAGGAGTTATCACCACGCGAGAGCGCTCCCTCGGAAATCCCAGGCTAGTTTCTTTGTCGCCTCTTCACCCACCCTGCCTCTCCCGCTCCCGACCACGGGCGCTTTCAGGCACAGCCGAGGGATGAAGTCAGGGTTTCACCTGAGGACGCGCACGGACGGAAGAAGAGACAGACAGGGAAGAAGGTTACCACCACAACACAACAAGGGAGGAGAAATGAGGAGGAGACAGGAGGGAGGGAGGAAGGAAGCACACCGGGGACGGGCTCACCTTTCTTGCGCTTGAGTTTGCGTTTGCGTTGCTTGTTGACGAAGCAGGCGGCGAGTGTGCTGAAGAGGATGGCAGCAGCCAGGAAGCAGATGGTGGCAACGATGCCAGCCAGCACCGGGCGGGCTAGACCCTCGTCCGTCAGGTCAGGCTGAGGGAATACGTCTGGGGAAAAAAAACCACAACGATTAGGTATTACGCACACACCCTTGCCTGCTGCCTTCCCCAGGGACCTACCACAGCCTGAAGGCAACTGGTACCAGAAATGACAATCTCTAAGTAAAGACCCTGCTGCCAACCCAGCCCACCTGGGAGGAGCAGTCAGTGCTGCCACAGGCCACTGCCAAGGGATTTAGTGACCTCGCACCAGATAAACCTTTTTGCCTTGGCTGATGGACACCCAGGGAAGAAGCCTCTGTGCCCCACAAATACACATTTATGCACAATCGCACACAACTGCACCAAACCTGTAGTTACCTCCTGGCCGAATCAACCCACTGCAGCATCACAAGGTATTTTACCCTGTTAGTCAGTGCTTCATTTCAGCTTTTCAATGAAAACTGGGCTACGAACCCTCACAATGCCCCTTTTCTAACAACAAGCACATCCAAACCACCAGCAGACCTTCAGCTGCGGCCATTTGCGGATGCAAACCCTGCACACACCAGCGCTCCTGCTGTGCATCCGCCTGCCGGGAGCACCGGCTTTCAGCCTGCGAGGGCAGTTGCCTGGGGCCAGGGAACACGCACGCCCTGCGAGTGCTGCCAAACCCCATCAGAAAAATTGTGCGAGAGGAGCAAGGGCAGGCAAGCTGGAAGGCAGGCTGCAGCACGCAGGCTCTCTGCACGCAGCAGAGCTGGGTGGCTCCTTGGCTTTTCCACGAGAGCTATAAAAGCAGGGTTCGCCGCATCCTCGTCTCCTCCTGCTGCCCTTGCCTTCCCCACCGCAATCACCTACTCTCCTCTGCCCCTTGCTCAAGGAGCATCCTTTGAGCTGGACCGGGATGCAGGGTATGTGCAGGAGCCGCAGTGTGTTGCGGTCTCCTGTTGCAAAGCTTTTTTTCCCTTCAGACTCTGCACTGCAGAGCTACATATGCCCCTCTGCACCTTTCATTCCCTTTTCCAGGCTGTGCAGTGCCCGGTCAGAGCTTTGTTCTCTGGGCACCCCGCAGAGCCGTGACGTGCTGCCACTCTGCACCAGCAGACGCCCGACAACACTGCAGTCCGCAGGAAGGACTAAATGGGGCGGTTTGTCCTCACCCACTCCGAGTGCCACTGGTCAGTTCGCATTCAGGAGGCAGCACAGAGCCAGCAGCATGCCCAGGACTCTGATCCTAACCACACACGCATCAGCCCAGCTCACAGCCTGAGCATCTCACGCAAAAGCACAAAACCAGACATTGCTGTCGTAAGCAAGTACTGATGTGTGACACAAGTACCTGCAGAAGCAGAGATGCTCCCACAGCTGGGGGAAGAAGAAGGAGCCACCGCTTACCTGTACTGGACACACCAGCAACGTTGCTGGGTTCGCTGATGAGATCCTGCATGACTGCCAGGACCCGGAACTCGTACCAGGTGTCCTGAAACACCAAGCACATCCGTCAGGTCCCCCACCACAGCCTCCAACCTTGCCCAGCTCCTTAAAGACCCCAGCACGGGGACCGAGCCACCCTAAAAGCTTCCCCAGAGCTGCAGCAGACAGTGCAACACCAGAGGTATGGTGTGGGCAGCCCCTGCTTACCTGGGACAAGTCCTTGGCAAAAAACTCGTTCTCCGTCCCCGGGATGCCATCGTCCAAGATCTCCCACCTCTCCGCGACGCGGAACTCCATGATGTAGCGGTCGATGGGGAAGCTGTGGTTAGCAGGAGGAAGCCACGACAAGAGGACGCCTTGCTGTGTCCGGTTGGCTGTTAGGCACCTCGGTGGGGTAACCAACACCAGAGGCTCTGGAGTTGTTACAGGGAATGCTGGAGACAGAGCAGATGGCACAGGGATAACTTTGAGATTGGGCAAGGAGAAGTGCAGAGGTTGCTCTCCCACACGTGCCCCATCGGTGGTTGACAGACCACCATGGCAGTGGCAGCTCCCACCTTCCAGGAGTTTAGGGCGCGCCTTGGGTATGAGCTTTCTTATCTCAGAGATACAAAAGTGGCTTTCCAAAAGGCAGAGGACTAACAATGCAGTGACTCCAAGAAAAGGGGCACAGCGTTAGAAAACCTCCTGCTTCCTCCCACCTCTGACCAAGACAGCCCCAAGGCAGGTACCAGCACGAGGCCCTTTGTGATAGCTCCTGCTCTGAGGCGCACGCAAGTGATTTTGTGCTCTATTAATACCTCCTGACCCCAGCTGAACTTAAGGAAGATCTGAACGGTGACTGGTACAGCACAGCTCTCCCACGCTGCATCTTAGGACAAGCTTTCAGGAGCCTCATGCATCCAGCAAAGCCTACAAGCTTTGGACTCTCCATGAACTATCCTCTACACAGCTGGAAACTACTGCTGCTGATCACTATCTCTGTCCCCAGCAGATAGGAGACATGGACCAAGGCAAAGGGCCAGGAGACACGGACCAAGGCAAAGGGCCACTTCTCCCCACGGACCTCCTGAATCCCACCCCCCTCCTCCCCTTGTGCCCATGGAGGACCTACCTAGAGTGTTCACAGTGACCACCTCACTGAAGGAGCTGGTACCCAGCTTGTTTTGAGCCAAGACACTGAACTGGTATGCAGTCTCCGGTTCCAAGGTATCCACCAGTAGCCAACTGGAACCAGCTGGCACAGGGAGAGACAGCCAGTCGTGGGGGCCAAACTGGGCTCTCTTCATCCTGCCGAGAGAGAAGGGAGCATCCTCAGCAAACGTGCCTTCGACAGGCAGGACAAAGAGGCAGCATTAACTTCTCGAGCGAAAATGGAGCTTTCCCGAGCAATGGTTTGGTTTGACAGCAGTGATGCGTATGGACATGGGGCAGCCACTCGCCACCCATGAGCTGGCTCAGGGACGGCGCACACAAGGGCTGCCGGGCACAGAGCACCATCCCATTGTGTCACGCCAGCATCCCTTGGCTCATATGGACATGGCCACCAGCCCTCCCCTCTGCTGTGCACCACCTGCGCCCCGCGAGCAGGGGCAGGGACAAAAGCAGTGCCAACAGCCCTGCTGTTGGTTATCTGCTGGAGGTTATCTCCACCAGATTCCCATGGGCAAGTGGAAGCTGGTGCATTTTTACTCTGGCAAGTGCTGCAAAGGGGATGGCTGGAGCAGGAGATGGACCCTGTTCCCATTTATACCTCCACAGCTCCCGAGCCAGAGCCAAGTTTTACCTCAGTTGTAGTGCTGTACATGCAATCCCACAAGACACATTAAACTAAATCACCTTTTTTGCCATATTTGCATAAGTTGGGGGCTGCCAGCACCGCCCAGGGCATAACTCGGGGTTCGTCAGTGCAGCAGAGGCACTTGCAGGGAGCACAGGATGCAGCCTTTCCGCAGGGGTCTAACCCACAAACTCAGGGAAAAGAAAAAAAAAAAAAAAAAACCCGTCCAGAGCCGTCCCAGTATGACCCCAGCACACATGAGCCTTCAGCCACCTCTGCAAGCCGGGAAAGAACCTCATGTCCCGAAGCAGTGTCACTGTGCTGCAATGATATTGCAAGTATCAGTGCTTGTGATAGAGATGCTCTAGAGAGTCCCAGTCCTCAGCTGCAGGTTTCGGTGGTATCTGCAGAGGATTTGGGAAGGATTACTGCAGAAAGTCTATTCTGCATAGGTCAGTGGGCATAGCTATAGCCACCGGCGTCCAGCCAGGTAAATCCACCGAGTAGAAAGCAAGAGATGGAGCAAAGACAACTAATGCCGCTGCAAAGGGAGCAAAAGGTGAGGCAGGAGAAGCAGCAACAAGCTATGGAAACAAGCGAGTCGGTGGAGAGCCATGCACGTGCAGCATGCCTCCACCAAACTGTGCGGCTGTGGGCAGGAAAGCCTCCGTATCACCACAGCTCTGGCAGGGACTACAGCTCCCAGGATGCCCCGCCATGGAGGGCAGCAGAGCAGCCCTTTGCCTCAAGTGGGTTTCCCTGCTGCATTTAACCCCACCACCTTCGCATCCCTTCTCCCCAGCGCTGCTGCGGGCAGACATACAATGGCAAGGGGCTGAGGGTGGGGAGAGCAGCGGGTAAACGCAGCACTAATTGCCTCCGGGCACGGCAGACCGCCTTTGCCGAGGGACAGCATGTGTGCAGGCAGGATGCTGCGGTGGCCTTGGTGGTCCCTGGGGAGCGGGGTTTGCATTTCCAGCATCAACAACTGCATAAGCAGGAGGAGAGCATGGAACTTCGCAGGAGGCGAAGCCATGTTTTGCTTGAGTGTCCTGTAGCCACAGCAGGGAGGAAAACGCATGCCCTCCGGCTGGCCAGCTCTCCGGACAGCACTAGATGATCCAGCACCATCTACCTCTCCTGGGCTCCCCAGTCCCAGGGAGCAGCACAGCCCCAGGGCTCACACCCCACAGTCAAGGCAAGACAGGTCTCTGCCTCCCCATCGCAGGGTCCCCCCAGCACCCTGTGAATTCCATAAGACAAGCTTGGCACAAACGCCCTTCCCTGCCGCTGGCTGCTCTCCCTCAGCATGGGGTCTGGAAGAGCCTTGGAGGCAGGAACCCGTCAGCAGCAGCAGCTGCCACCTTCCTCCAAGGTGAATGCCGTCTCCAGAGCAGAGAGGTTTAACCACTCCTTCCCAAGGACATTTTCATCAGAGCAAAGTCTGCACTGCTCTGCTCGCTCCCTCATTTTTCTCCTCTGCTCGCTTCATTTCTTCTTCTTTCCATCTCCTGCCAGACTGCCCGGCCCACCCCGTAAGTGCCCAGCCTCAGGCTGGAGCAGAGCAGAAATCATTACAGGCAGCGTCTACCCTATCTCCACTCTATCAGCAGTCTCCATCGGTGCAAATTAAGGCAAGGAAGGAAAGAGAGAGCGAGAAGAAAGGCGGAAGAACGCCAGCCCCAGAATTGGGAAGGGAAGGAGCCATCCCCCCCACATTTCCAAAGACAGCTCTTCAGAAGAGGAAGGCAAGAGCAAGTGCAGAGCCCAAACAAAACCCCAACCTCGCTGCAGCTACGTTTTGCCCTCCCCTGCTCTGGGGAAAAGCCGGCAGGGCTGAGCCCGGGCCCGTTGCGGGAAGGCAGGGTGCCCCCACTGGCTTTGGGTACCGGGCAGGGCAAGCTGGCACAGGAGCGATAGGCGCAAAGCCCCACGAGGCTCAGAGCCGGCCAGCGTCTCACGGTGGCTGGTCGCAAACTCAGCCGGGATTTAATCACCTCCAGGGAGATGCAGAGCGAGGAAAGATCATTTCTGCTTAGTCACAGCGCTTCCAGGACGCACTCTATAAAGGTTGCATTTTCCATCCTCTCCCTGGCTGTTAAGCTTCATAAACAGTTTATCTTGAAATTAGATGCCAGAGGCAAAGTTACATGAATGCAAAGTGTCTTCCTTGCACCATAAGCAGAATAAAACCTGCTGGGGCAGACAGAGGTACTGGCTAGCACAGAAGGGAGACGAAACACGGCACCTACGTGATCCCACCACCACCCATCTCTCTGAGGCACCGAACGGGAGCTCAGCCCTGTAATACCCATGGGCACCGAGCCGGGCACGCTGCCCTCCCCACCCTCCTCCCCCCGGCTGCTCGAAGCTCGGGTCGGCTAGGAAGGAAAAGAAGCAGAGAGCAAAGCATGCCAGGATGACTCACAGAGGGCCGTACCAAACTGAGAAAGTCTGCTCGTATCCACCGTCGTAGCCAGGCTCCCAGGAGACGTTGGCTGAGGTCATGGCGACCACAACGTGCACGCTGGTCGGGGCGTGAGGGCTTGTGCCTGCGGAGAGAGAGGGAGGGATTGAAGGGCAACAAGACCACACACGGGCTGGAAGGGGTCTGCTCCCAGCCACGGTTGGAAAGCACCAAGCAAAAGCGCCCTGGAATGTCTGCTAGAAATAGCAGCGGGACAGCTGTGTCCGCAGGTGGCCAAAATAACAGAGCAGAAAAAGGCAGCACCACTGGGAAGTAAGATTTGAAGGAGACGCTGCTTTTCACAGGAAGCATCCCCATCTCCTCTCTTGCCGACACGCTGCCTGGGGGACCCTACCCAGGGACCCGCCACCGGCCGTCCCCGAGGACCCGTCCCCTGCCCTGCCCGTACCTACGACAGTAAGGTGGGTGCTGGCAGTAATGCTTGCGACGACGTTGGTGGCGATGCACTCCCACTCGCCGTGGTCGTCCTTGCCGAGGGAGCGGATCTGCAGGGTGCCGCCGGGCAGCGTGTTGTGCTTGCTCCTGCTGGGCTTCCCTACCTTGGGCAAGGAGCGGGGGAAGCCGGGCAAAGACAGAAAAAACATGACTCAGAAGCGGGTTGCGGGGCAGGGCGAGGCGGCAGCAGGGTCACTAAGCTACCTGTGTGGCCCAGGGGACACCGCCGGCCACCACCAAGGGATCCGGTCTCTCCGCTCGCGGCAAGGCAGCCGGTTCCCCCGTTTTCGAGAGGACCTGGCAGGGCAATGCGAGAGGCATGTGTCAGGGAGGCTGACGCCCAGCACTCACACGCAAGCGGAACACCCCACAGCACTCGCACAGACACCGAGCCCTGCGCCAGGGCACAACCTCCAGCATCCAAAGCTGAAACCGCTGCGGAGGATGGTGCACCGGCCTCCCAAATCAAACACCCACCCAGGCTGGGGAAGGCACCGCCTGCCCCAGGAGATGCCCAAACTGCCCCTCAGCCAGCGGCAGAGGAGAGCCAGGAGCCTTCACATCAGAGGTTTGGGCAGCAAGGGCCCCACAGGGACGCAGGAGGATGGCGTGCGTGGAGGTACCCGGCAGCTTTCCAGCCAAGCGGAAGAACGGATCTTGTAACAACTCAGGTCTACACCCATCAGCCAAAGCTGTGCAAATCCCACATTGTCCTGAGTCCTCTTCAGCTGTTCTTCACGCAGACGTCTCTGCTGATTGACACCGGGACCCACAGTTCAATGCCATGCAGGATGAGCAGAGGAGTGGAAGGGCATATGGGCTTACCAGTGCCAAGCCCAAGTCTTCAGGAGCCCTTCAAGAGACTGGCCAGTGCTGGTGGGCTGATGGGGAGCAAGGGAGCTTGTTTCTGCCACCTGGAAACTGAGCCCAGCCCAAGCCAGCCCCAGATGGAGTCAGGGGGGATAAGCCCAGAGTTATGACACGAGAAGGACCACCAGAAGGCACAAGAGGGGTTGAAAATAAACCTGAATAAGAATGGGGGGGGGGGGGGTAACAGAAAATTGAGACTGACAAAAAAGAGTAAATGGGCAACAATTTTTAGGTAGGTCACTTGCAATCTGTGCAAGTCTTGGTCCTCCTCGTGCTGGTAAAAGGACCTCAAAGAGATCCAGCATCTCACACCACAAGGACTGAGGACGGTGCCCACTGGGCGACGCAGGGACCCCACTCACGCTCAGGAGCCCCAAGAAGGGGAGAGGAGGCTTGGAGAGAAGATCCTGACAGGGGCACAAAGAGCCCAGGAGGTCCCCTGCACAGTGGCTTTCCTACAGGAGCAGTGAAGGTGGGAAGCTAAGGGAAGGCTGGAGGAGGACTGGAAAGCCCTGGTTGCTCCCAGGCTATGCCACCACACTGGATCCTACCCTGCTCTACAGAAAGGGACATCCTGAAATCATTATGTCCAGTCCAGCATCATTAAAACAGCTTCTTCCCAGGGTCTTCGAAGTCAGGGGGCGGCAAAGCAGCTGCTGACCAGTCAAGGCCCTTGCCGAAACACAGCCAAGAGACCCCCAGACAGTCTCCAGTGGCACGTCCCCTCTGGCCACGGGAGGTCCACACAGTGACAACAGCATTGCCGGGGCTGCCACATCCTGCTAGTGACCACCTCGCAGGCAGGCAAGGAGGAGGGTGTCCTGCAGGCAGCACCGGTGAGGAAGAGGAGGGGGGCCGGGGCAGGGGCAGCGCTCAGGTTTGCAGATGCTGCCGTGACGGTTTCACGGGATTAAAGTACTCGGTGGCCACAAGCCGGGCTTCCCCCACCCACCTGCGGGACAGGACGGCAGTGGCTCAGCCCAAAACGAAGCAGCTGTACCTGCAGTTTGTTCTTACCGGGACAGAGTGTGGCTTCTCTGTCTGCAATATTCACCAAAAGCCAAAGGCACTGCAGATTTGTCTGGCAGGCCGGGTACCTTTCTCCAGGCGATGATGGGAAAGGGGTCTCCGGCAGCAGCGCAAGGAATCAACAGCTCCCTCCCTGCCTCCTGTCTGTACTCCCAGCCTGGTAGCACCGTGAAATAGGGGGGGTCCTGCAGCCAAGGGAAAAGGCAAGGAGCGTCAACCCGTGCCAACTCCCAGCGGCTCCCCACCACTAAAACCAGCCCTCCCTCTTCCAAAACAAATGAATCACCAGCTTGGGTAAGGTTGAGGCACTGCAAGGAAAGCCACGGCTGAAACCATGTGCTAAGGAAGCTACGGTACACCAAATTATACGCCCCGAGGGAAGTTTTCTCTGCAGAGACACTGCACTAGGGCGCCTTGTTTAAGTTTTAAGGAGGTAAATAGGAAAAAAAACACCCACATCGCATCAGACATCAACCCGATTTCATTGATTCTGCACCCGTCTTAGCGGATGTGTGTGTCTACGCTACACAAAGCACTATCATGTGAACCTCAGCGAGACACCATGAATCACCGCCGCTCACAAGCACGGGGACGTTTTGTTCACGGAAGGAAGAGGCAGCAGCTCCCCCCCCAGCCGCACCGGGAACCACATCGGGAGCCCAGCACGCCTCGGGCTCTGCACACAGCAAGAGCACGGAAAGCATCTCTAGAGCTCAAATCATCCATTTATTCAAATCCTTCGTGAACCCAAGCCCAGGTCAGCAGGGCTAAGTGTTTTGTTGGCAAAAAGACCACCCCAGGGACATGTTTCCTCAAACTACCCCGGTCCAGCGCTACCAAAACCTTATACTCATCATACACCGGCTACATCCCAGCCTGTGCCAAAACCTGTGCTGCTGCTCCGGCAGGGTATTCCCAGCTGTACCAGTCAGGGTGCCCTCAGGGTTTGCCTGTCCTTGTGGGAAGCGCACCTCCAACCACAGCACAAACGCACATTTGCACTCCAGCCTCTGCTGTTCCCCTTCAAGGATGCTTGCAAGGGCTCGCGTTCGCCTTTCTCAGCACAGGTAAGAGAGACAAAGCTCAGAGCAAAAGGCGATAGGTTTTTGCTAAGCTGAGCAATGTGGGTAGAAAAGTGGGCAAGTTCGGGGGGCACAGAGCCCTTCTGGAGCGCTCGGAAAAGCAAAGTAAAACCTGAATTTCTGCACAGAATTAACAACCAAATAAGCGGCATAGAAAAAAAAAAAGCACCTCATCCATCCCTGCAGCACTGGGCTGAACAGGAATACAGAACAAGTGACATGCACATCGCAAAATCCACGTTCAAAAAGCCTAGCTATAGCGTAAGACGCCTCTGCAAAGCACACACGCATTCAGACCGCCTGGCCTGGGACTCCAGCGCCCCGCACAACCCCGGGAGCTCCTCTCGGCACAAGAGGACACAACCCATGGCAAATCTGCCAGCTGCAGAGCAAGGATTTTAGCAGGCAGGTTACCTTCAGTACCAGTCGGGCAGGGGGAGACTGGCCCATCGTACCCAGGGCGTTATAAGGCACACAGGTGTAAGTGCCGAGAGCATCTTCGGTTGCCTCCTCTATCCGGATCGACCCGTCTTCCAGCAGGTTCCAGCCAGAATACTGCAGCGGTGAGAAAAAGGAGGCTGACTTATCCTACGCCCACCGCAGCTTATTATTTTCCCTTCAGCCAAGCCCCCCACCTAAGCCCAGGGCGGCTGTAGCATCCCCCGGGAGATGCCCAATTCAATTCCCAGCATCCGAGCCATCTCCTCAACCGAAGAGGGGCAAGATCAGCCCATCCAAACGCAGCCCTCTGGAAAGGGCTGCCCTGCTCTATACGTGCCCAACGACAAGCGGATTTGTCTTGCTACTGCTCTCGTCCCTACACACAGCCAGGCTTCTTCAAGTAGCCCAAAAACATTTAACATAAGAATCTATCCCACCCTAAGTAAAACTCGTCCTGGTGGCACCAAGGAGACAGCTACGCCCGAGGGGCTGAGGGCACCAAGGGCCAGGAACCCACAGCAGCAACAGGTTTAAATGGAATTAAAACCTCGGATCGTTAATATTTAAGCAAAAAATTTAAAATACTGAGTGTTTTCTTTAAATTTTTAATGGCTAATATCCTTGCTCAGACTATCAAACTGTGATTACAGGAAGACAGACACTTGTTAAAAGGGTCTTTTAACCATCAGTTGCCATTGGATAAAAAAGAAAAAACAGGGCCATCAGGAGGTCACTTTAGAGGGAAGCAGGCATTAAGTCTTGGAGATGCAGACGGCATATCTACACGCGCCCTGGGCTCCACACAAGAACCCGAATCAACCCTGCCCACAGCTGATAAGGAAAAGCATCATCATCCCAGCCACGGGGCTGCTTCTCTCCTGACAGCGGGCTGGACCCACAGGGTGCCCGATGATGCTCACCAGGGTTTGCAGATGACGGGAGGGTCCGAACCCCTCTGTGCCCCAACACATCCCTCCCCGGGGGCTTCGTTACCTTCTCAATTCGCAGGGGACGTCCATCTTTGTTCCACTTGACCAGCGTGACCGGGGGCTCTGCCTCGACCGGGCAGCGGATATATCCATGTATCCCGATGGGAACGTAGATGACGGGGGGCATGTTCACCACACGGGCAGGATCTGGGAGGGCAGCACCACCACGTTAGTGCAGGGAAGGAGCCCGTCTCTCCCCCATCACCTGGATTCAGCAGATCTACATTGCTTTCATAATGAATTCCAAACCCAAACACCACCTTGGCTCCCACAGGCTGTTATCTCCAGGCTTGCTACACACAAATCCACGGTAATACCTGGCATTTCTGGGAGGCTTTACTCATGCCCAGGGTGTTCCTACCTGCGGCTCATTAAAAGTTACAGTTAAGAAGAAACGTTAAATATGCC